TCTCTCTCTCTCTCTCTCTCTCTCTCTCTCTCTCTCTCTCTCTCTCTCTCTCTCTCTCTCTCTCTCTCTCTCTCTCTCTCTCTCCCCGTTCTTTCTTTTCTGCACCCTGCCTTATCTCTCCCCTTTTCCTCCCTTTTCCTTGCTCTCCATCTGCTTTTGTTGCCCCTTCCGACTCCATGTGATCTGTCTGTGCCTGCATCTGATGCTACCGTGCACCAGAGTTTCAAGAAGTTCATGACCTACAAGAAGGACTTCAATGAGTTGCTGTTGCACATACTTAGACAGCTTGTGAAGGAGGCCATGCGGTATGACGAGCTCATGTCAAGGTCACGCAGGGTAACATCTGTAGAGATCAAGGTGGATGATCTTGAGGCAAAGGTATGGCAATGTTCTGAGATGCCTACTCCAGTCCAATTCTGCACTGTTTCATATGTCATCGGAATTTCTTCTCCTTTTCTTTCCATGTTTTCTATTCCTTCCGTTCATTTTTGAAGCTTCTTGGGAGTCAGAGTCGTGGATGGACTACTGAGTTCTGCATGGCGCAAGGCTGCTAAAGTATTCATCTCTGCCAGAGGTGGATCAGTCAATTCTCTCCCCGCATGCCTTCCTCATGCTGTTGCAAATGCAATGATCTTGGATGCTTTGCTGTTGCAGGGTCATCGCTTCTCCCAATACAGGAAGCATGTAGTTACGTGCACAAGGTTTGATCTATGTTTTGCCGCCATTCATTTCTTGGCAGAAGGTTTGGTCTAGGTTTGCATAGTGGTCTTTAATGACTCTTTATATAGCATGCATTGAGAAATATACAGATCAAGGAATCGGACTCATGGTCCCAAGAAGTGGAAGGAGCCAGAACCATAAGGCCCTGTTTAAGTGGTTGGGGGGGGGGGGGGGGGGGGGTAATGGGGAACGCAAATGTGATGCTCTCTCCTCTCATTGTATGTTGTTCATGTGATAATGCTGCCCTAAATGTCCCGTCCATCATCCTTCTTTCATTGCTTGCTCTCTTTTCTTGGGATGAATAGAAACTGTGATGCTATCTCCACTCTCATCCAGTAGTGTCGTATATGTGATAATGCTGAATGTCCTGTCCGTCCTTCTTTCACTGCTTGCCCACTTTTCTTGAGATCGTCTTACTGCAAGTGTAGATACAAAGTTGTTCCTTTTTTGAAGTTTTTCCCCCTTCGTTTTTCTTTTTTCAACAGAAAGCAACAATTCATTGATAAATTGAAAATCGAGGCCGGGGACCTCACAATTTGACCCGGTTTTGAGCAGGGGCAACACAAAGTTGTTTTATTTGTTCTCGCTTCCTTTTTATTTTGCTTTTAGTCTGTGGTTCCTTTCTCTTTTGTTCATAGCAGTGCTGCGGACTGTCCGCCGACTCCGCACAATTCCCGGGCTTCCGATGTTCGCAGACGAGGAAGTTTGCATGTCAAGTCCTCCGGGTGAGGCGTCATGGCTCGGCATGGTGTTTGACGGAGGCTGGGACGGGTCATCGGAATGGAGGTAGATAGGGGAAGGACAACTCCTGTTCTATGCATTTCCATGTCCGGCAGACATTTAATCTCTGGACTGGACACAGATGCAGATGAGGGTATTTGTGACAGGGCCTGTCCACCACTGACATGGTGTATTCCCTTTTCTTTTTTGTTTTATTTAGCCTGTGGTTCTTTGCTCTTTCGTTGAGCGGTCTTACCTGAGGGGTAATTTTGTCAGAAGGCTTGAACTGGATACGGAGTTCAGTGGGCATATTTTGCATGAGCTCACGGTTGTGTCTGTTTGTTTGGTTGCTGGTTTTGTGTACGTGAATGACCACAGGCAAGGGAGTATAACATTATGGATTTGCACCCATTCTTTGCCAGTCAGCAGTTCACTGCCAACAACTTCACTGTGGATCCAGCGGAGCGCATTATTCGGCATCACTTATTCTGAGGATTTGCCACGGGCACTGAGCGGCTGTCAATGCACACTGTGCATTGCTCTGCTCTCATACCATGAGAGTACACACGTCTTACTCAGCAGTCCACACTCCTTCGTGCCCCAGAGGATGCAGAGTTGGGACTGAAGCATGAAGCTGAGCACGCTCTCCCAATGCTTAGTCATGCCCGTCTCGCTAGAGCCGTGGTTGGGGCAGCCCTGAAATGTCAGGGGATGAGTTAATCCTCTTCACTTACGGCAAGAGCGTATGTCGGCTATACAGTTTTGATGGTGGAACAGGCCTGTGCACACATGTGTGCAACTGGAGAGAGAGAGAGAGAGAGAGAGAGAGAG